TCCGTCCTTCTGCTTCTCATCGAGCAACGATCCGATAGATATCTCGGTGTCGTCATCGAAGAAGTTGGCTAGGAACTTGGTCTCCATGTCATCACAGCTGTTTACGCTGCCTGGCTTGAGGCGGCGATACCAATCGACGGTGGCTCCGCGAAGAGTGCCGACGAATGACCGCACCATCAGAGGCTCATTACCAGAGATCACCCCCAACAGCTGTTTACGCTGCCTGGCTTGAGGCGGCGATACCAATCGAAGGCGGCTCCGCGAAGAGTGCCGACGAATGACCGCACCATCAGAGGCTCATTACCAGAGATCACCCCCAAATGCGATTTGAAGTAAATCAAATGCTGGGTAGGTGAACCCATCCCATTAAACGGCGTGAAGTTAATTAGATTAAACTTCGCCGGATATGGGATCGATTCCCATTCTCTTGGGTATGGGCAAGGAATGCCTGTTTTCTTCGTCTCTTGAGCGGAAATTAGTGTGTTGATTTTGCTCTCGAGGTTCTTGATCTTCAGGTTTTCGCCGGTTTCTTCGCCAGCATTCTCATTACCACCCCCTGCGTTGACGGGAGGATCATTGGTGTTACGAGCATTTGTATCCTCATCTTCCACATTAATCCGGTTACGATGATTCTGCTCGCCTTGTTGGTTCGCCAATGCTTGGATCTGTTGGTCATGCATTTCTCTCATCTGCTGCATGGCCATCTCCATCTCAAATTTGAAACTTTCTTTCTGCTTAGCCAAAGCGTCTTCAAGCATCTTGGCCATCTGCTCCGCACTTATCATCAGGGCCTCGCGGGGTTGTCCCTCGCTGGATACTGTATTATCTGATGCCACCGCGGAGCCGGCATCAGATTCTTCATCTTCTGAAGGGCGTCTTGTCCGAATCCTACCATAAGTTGCTCGCTCTATGGTTCCGGACTGCAGACGGGTTCTAGGTCGGGAAGCTTTCAGAATCGACTCGAAATCTTCTCGTGCCGATGTCCCTTTGCTCGTCATGTTGGTGGTGACCCTCGGAAATTCTCCGTCTTCAATCACCCTTCTTCTTCGTTGGAAGCGCCTAGGCCTTGGTTTTGGCGTTTCCGCATTAAGTCTTTCAAAAACTGAAACTCTTTCGGGGACCGCCTTAATGCAATTGCATTCCGACAATACCGCCCGAATGAGTTTGGAACAGGGACATTGAATTTCCCGTTCTCGGGGACTCCTCTTCCTGGTTCTATTCGTACCCCCAGCACGATAGTACAACTCGTCATTTTGACAGTCAGAGTAACCTATCGTGTGCGGGCACGCCTTCTCAGGTACAACACAATCATTATCAGATGATAATGTTTCCATCTGAGGTTGACTTGCCTTCTTTGGGCTTTCAAAGGTTACCCGCCTCAAAACATGCCTTTTTGGGCGTGAATTTTCGGCGTGATCTTGGACTTCAATGCGCAAATTGGTGCGCGCAGCTGCCTTGAGGTCTTTGTCATGCTGGAGGTGATGGCGACCCCCAGTATGTTGAGTCGTTCTGGGCTTCTTCATCGGGCCCAAACGCTCGTGAATTGGAGCTTTGCCTCTCACGTCAGGAATTGGACCGAGGCGCTCCAAAATTGGTTTCTTCTTGCGGGATGACTCTGCATGATCTCCCGGAGAAGTTATTGGGATTGACGGCGACTTTGGTTGACTCGCCGGAGTTTGACCTTCCTTAGAAGGCTGCACTGGTTGCTTTTTGGCCTGAGTCGCCACTTCAGACTTAGGCTTCCAGACTTGTCGTGTTGGTGGTGGCTTCTTCTCCACCTCCTTTTGCAGCTTTCTACGGGCTTCCTGAGCTTGAGCCCGTGCCTGCGCTGACATCGCGCGGCGCTTGCGAATGCGCTCCTCGAGTGTCGAACGGTTCCGTTTGACGCGGACCCATTCTTTCTTTGGCGGCTTGGAAGAGTCGCCATTCATTGGTGGTTGAGGCTGTTTGCCTCTTCTGTTCTTCAACTCCGCGTGGTAGCGGAATCCGTCCGTAGACTCCATCGCCTTAGCGAATTGCCGCGCAAGGCGTTGACGACGCCTCTGGCGGGCTCTCTTTGAGAGAGTCACAACGCCCTGAACAGTAGAGGCGTTGGCGGGAGTTGGGTTGACCTGATTGGAGGTCGGTGGAACTTCATTTGACGCAACTTCGGCGTCAGTTGGGTTGAGAGCTTCGTGGGCTTCCCGAGCAGCTTCAAACCAACGAGCTTTTCTCCCGGAGGAGAACTTCTTGGACTTGCGGGGGGAGATAGAGCCGGACGAGGACACGTACTCCTCGAACTTGGCTTGGTCGAACTCGTACTCGACCTCCTCCACGACCGGGATTGCAATCCGCGGCTGCGACGCATCGATCTCGTTGGCGAGATCGTCGGCTCCCACTGTGGTCGCCAGATTGTTCGCGTGGAAAACTGTTTTCTTTTTCATTGATATGATTGTCATCTTGGGTTACAAAGATCCGGTCTTTTATAGATCCGGTTACA